AGTGATTATTATACCCAGACATTTTGAGTATATGCTCACTGACAGAACTGTTCTCCTCCATCTTGCAGCTATAGAACTTATTGGAGACTTCATATCTCTCAATCCGGACATTTACTTGAAATATTAACTTCAACTCTTGGAACATCTCATATGCTCCATGACGTTCAAAACGTCGTTGAAGTCCCGATTCTAAGCCGTAAAGCATGGCACACTGAACTATCGAGTAGTCATCAGCTTTGCTCTGCCAGACGTTCATAACATCTGGTGTTGCTCCAGCAGCAGGCCTGGCATCCAGCGGTGCTTCCAGGACGTAATTCTTCTGAGCAGCAATGAGGATAATCCTCAAGTTACGGACCCAGTCCGTGTAATTGCTACCATCATCTTTCAACTTTGCTTTCTCACGAAACGCATTAAAATTCAATAGAACAACAGCACGAGCCATCTATCTACAATCAACATAAACAAGCAATATACTATCAGGTACTAAGTTCATGATAAGTTTAAGTTCAATTAATCAAATTACTTAAGAACTCCCACTTAGATAGACATCCCTCTAATCCTCTAAGTGATCACGTGATCCAAATCAACTAAGCCATAACCGATCATCACTTGAGATGGAGTAGTTTTCAATGGTGAACATCGTTATGTTGATCATATCTACTATATGATTCACGCTCGACCTTTCGGTCTCCGTTTTCCGAGGCCATATCTGCATATGCTAGGCTCGTCAAGTTTAACCTGAGTATTCTGCGTGTGCAAAAACTGGCTTGCACCCGTTGTAGATGGACGTAGAGCTTATCACACCCGATCATCACGTGGTGTCTGGGCACGACGAACTTTGGCAACGGTTACTCCGACACCTCCGAGTTCTTAGCACACGTACAGCTCGATGACGATCCCTGGGCTCCGATCCAGCAAAGCGTCGGGGAGGAGTTCCGTCAGCACGACGGTGTGGTGACGATCTTGATGTTCTACCATCGCAGGGCTTCGCCTAAGCACTGCTACAATATAATCGAGGTGGAATATGGTGGCAGGGGGCACCGCACACGGCTAAGGAACGATCTCAATGATCAACTTGTGTGTCTAGGGGTGCCTCCTGCCTCCGTATATAAAGGAGCCAAGGGGAGGGGGCCGACCGGCCAAGGAGGGCGCGCCAAGGGAGTCCTACTCCTTCTGGGAGTAGGATTCCTCCCCCAATCCTAGTTGGAGTAGGATTTGCTGAGGGGGAGCGAGAGAGGGGGGGAGGCCACCTCTCCTTGTCCTAATAGGACTAGGGGAGGGGGGAGGCACGCGGCCCATCTTGGGCTGCCCCTTCTCCTTTCCACTAAAGCCCATTAAGGCCCATACAGCTTCCGGGGGGTTCCGGTAACCTCCCGGTACTCCGGTAAAATACCGACTTCACCCGGAACACTTCCGATATCCAAACATAGGCTTCCAATATATCAATCTTTATGTCTCGACCATTTCGAGACTCCTCGTCATGTCCATGATCACATCCGGGACTCCGAACAATCTTCGGTACATCAAAATGCATAAACTCATAATAATTGTCATCGTAACGTTAAGCGTGCGGACCCTACGGTTCGAGAACAATGTAGACATGACCGAGACACGTCTCCGGTCAATAACCAATAGCGGGACCTAGATGCCCATATTGGCTCCTACATATTCTACGAAGATCTTTATCGGTCAGACCGCATAACAACATACGTTGTTCCCTTTGTCATCGGTATGTTACTTGCCCGAGATTCGATCGTCGGTATCCAATACCTAGTTCAATCTCATTACCGGCAAGTCTCTTTACTCGTTCCGTAATACATCATCTCGCAACTAACTCATTGGCTGCAATGCTTGCAAGGCTTATGTGATGTGCATTACCGAGAGGGCCCAGAGATACCTCTCCGACAATCGGAGTGACAAATCCTAATCTCGAAATACGCCAACCCAACATGTACCTTTGGAGACACCTGTAGAGCTCCTTTATAATCACCCAGTTACGTTGTGACGTTTGGTAGCACACAAGGTGTTCCTCCGGTAAACGGGAGTTGCATAATCTCATAGTCATAGGAACATGTATAAGTCATGAAGAAAGCAATAGCAACATACTAAACGATCGGGTGCTAAGCTAATGAAATGGGTCATGTCAATCAGATCATTCAACTAATGATGTGACCTCGTTAATCAAATAACAACACCTTGTTCATGGTTACGAAACATAACCATCTTTGATTAACGAGCTAGTCAAGTAGAGGCATACTAGTGACACAAGTTTGTCTATGTATTCACACATGTATTATGTTTCCGGTTAATACAATTCTAGCATGAATAAACATTTATCATGATATAAGGAAATAAATAATAACTTTATTATTGCCTCTAGGGCATATTTCCTTCATCTATCCCATACCTATAGGCCACAATTAGCAAATGCCGCAGGGTCGCCATAATGTAACCTTCGCCATTGCGCGGCAGAGAGTCCGTGTATAGTCTATGTCCGTTCGTCTAAAGATAATTACAATAGCGCCAAATAGTATTTCTTCATCCGCAAGGATGGGGGTGTGGGGTGGATTTTTATTTTTATTTTACGAAAGTGACTTAGATCTATCATAAATGTTCACCAAAGCACAAATCATCATAAAAATATAATAAAAAATTACATTGAAGGCTCTGGATTACTGACCGACTATTGTCGTTGCTGATGCGCTGTTGTTGACGCTTCCATACCAGAGCCTGCTTGGCCTTACCAATAATAGCCAAGAAGTCTCCGGAGGTGTAGTCGTCACCGTTGAACCCTTGAATCGGCCCAAAGAACCTGACGCCAAATCTCGTCACAGAGTACGCACAACCAGAATCCTAACTTTGCCGCCTCGACGAGTCGACGGGAATCTATGTCGAAGCTCCGTCTAATCTGCCCCAAAGGACGAACTTAAGGAGGATCGGAGCTCAAAAATTGACTCAAAGATAAAGTGTCGCCTCTAAGAGCAACTCTAGCAGACCCCGCAAAACGCCCAGCCCGCAAAAATTTCGGCGAGTATGCGGGCTCGGCCCAATTTTTTGGTCAGAACAGAGCCCGCGTACTCGCCCGGCCCGCAATTTTTTTTGCCGCAGCCCGCAAACCGCACGCCCCGAGCACTATAATTGCGGTTTCGCGACCCTTTTGTGGGTCCAAACCCTATCCCCCACCGCCGCGAGCCACCCGATTCCCCTTCCCCTCTCCACATTTCTCGCCGCCGGTGACCACCCGCCCCGCCTCCAGCCGCCATGTGTGGCCGAATGTGGAGCTCCGGACGAGGCTCCGGCAGCAGATCCGGCCGTGAGAGGGACCCGGAGCGCGAGCGGCGCGTCCGGTCGGACGGCGTGAGGAAGCGCGGCGCCCGGAAGTGGACCAACCACGGGATGTCGCCGCTGGCGAGCTTCAACCACCGCGAGATGGAGGAGTACGACCGCCGGCGCGCGTCCTTCTCCTCCATGAGGTCTTCCTACGCCAGATCCTCATCGTCCTCCAGCGCGGGCTTTCTCCCCATGAAGAGGGAGTGGTCGGACGACGAGGAGGAGCCGGAGGAGCCGACGTCGTTCGCCTTCGTCTCGGTGAAGGAGGAGCCCGAGGAGCCCGCTCCGCTCGGCCGTCGCGGAGTCGTCGGGCCTGAGGACTACGTCACGGACTTCGACGCCGTTGCTGCCGCCATCGCCGAGCGGAGCGTGCGCGAGGAGGCGGAGCGCCGGCGCCACACCGAGGAGATCGAAGCCCTCGAGTGGCGGCAGGCGGTCGCCGACAACTTCGCCGCCAACGAGAAGGCTGAGGAGTGGCGCCGCATCCGCGCGGAGCAGGCGGCGAAGTACGTCGACCTGTGCAGCTCCGGCGAGGAGGATTGAGCATCGCTCGGCCTCCACAGCGTCGTCCATTTTGCCGCGACCTCGCCGCCGTCAGATCCGACCCCCTCTACTACTAGTTAACGTAGCATGTAGGATGATGTATGCTTAATTTGTTGATCATGTAGTATGTATGAACTCTGTAGTATGTGATGTGATGAACTATATTTGTGCAATTTCTCCCGCGAAAGTGTTTTCTCAAATTATGCAAGTTTAGATACGGTATCTGATCGCCTGTGCATATTTTCGACCCGCAAACGCGATCTTCGTGAAACTGCGAACGCGTTTTGCGGGTCAATTATTGCGGGAATCTGCTAGAGTTGCTCTAAAAGGACTAAAATCCAACCTACTCATTTTGTTTCCATTTACTTGACATATTAGCTTTGTCTCGAGTCAAACTTATAAACTTTGACTAAGTTTATACAAAACGTTGTTAACATCCACAATAGCAAATCAATATTATTAGAATCATTTCATAACATATATATTTGTTAATGTGAAAGTTTAGATTGTTTTCAATAAATTTGGTCAAAGCTAATATAAGGAGTAGATGAAAATATATGAAGTATGTACTTATGGGAGCCGAGGCACAAGGATTCCCCTCCCTGCCACCACCCGCTGAAACGGCAGATAGAGGGTGGGCGAATCCACGTGTTTGCCGATGAAGATCTGGATGGGCAAATCTACATGTTTGCCAGCGGAGATCGAGAGAAGGAAGCTTTGCCCTAATAAATCCCTATGAATGAGGCAGACCAGCACCCTCAGAGTGCCGGCAATTATAAATGCCATGAAATCTATAATTTCCTTGGTTGTCAGTTCTCAGATGATGAACGAACACACGAATTTTGTGGCAAGAAAGCAAATGGCGCGCTTGGAACCGGCAAAATCCAATATTTTGAGCTCCCTCCCGCCTCGCTGGACGATGACATTTGAGACCGCGTCAGCGATCCGCGCCATCTCTCCTCGGATCGAGATCCTGGCCGTCCATTTTCGTCCGGATCCAAGGGCAGGCCGCACCCTCCTCCCTTGTTAAATTCCCCTTCGATTCTCACTCCGGAGCAGCAGCCGCCGCCGCCGCCGCTCCGCCGTCTCCACCCAATTGCATCTGCTCGGCGCTCCAAGCCACCATCATGTCCGGCCGCGGCAAGGGCGGGAAGGGTCTGGGCAAGGGCGGCGCCAAGCGCCACCGGAAGGTGCTGCGGGACAACATCCAGGGCATCACGAAGCCGGCGATCCGGCGGCTGGCGCGGCGGGGCAGCGTGAAGCGCATCTCGGGGCTCATCTACGAGGAGACCCGCGGCGTGCTCAAGATCTTCCTCGAGAACGTCATCCGCGACGCCGTCACCTACACCGAGCACGCCCGCCGCAAGACCGTCACCGCCATGGACGTCGTCTACGCGCTCAAGCGACAGGGCCGCACCCTCTACGGCTTCGGCGGCTGATCTGCTGCTGCTGCTCCGTCCAGTCTCTGCCAGCTGCTGTTCCATCGGTCTGTGTGGTAGTGGACGCCATGAATATGAATGCAATGAAATCAGAGTCGGCATTAGTTATCTTGGACGCATCTCTCGATATGTTTCTGTAAGCTTGTTAAATTCTTCCCAGCAAGAAAGATTAGGAGATAATCTACTAGCTGAGGTAAATATCGGAAATTCATGAATCAATCTCTAAGCAAACATTACAGTAGACTGCTATGGGTGTGTCGTGTGAATGATATTTGGGCTTACAGAAAGATCTTCACTGTTTTTGTCAGACATTGTTGCATTGCTTCAGGAAGACAGGAATGAACCTGCGTGCCTCATTGTTTGCTGCTTGTGAAATTCGTTGATGTAGAATTTCGTGTGTGTTTTGCTGAATAGGCACCAAAATTTCTGTCTCTACCATGCAGTTCGCTGAGGTCAAAATTAGTTGTGTTTCTGTTTTTTATTTTTTTACATGCAGGAACGTTCTCTGAATTTAAGTGTGCGTTTTCATCAGTCATACTGAATAGTGATTTGTATCTTTTTGTTTGCTTTTTGTTTCAGATCTGTGTTCTGAAACTCTGGAGACCTGAGTTCGAAAGTAATAAAATAGCATGGTGGCCGCTCTCGACTTTTTCGCCTCTATTGATCTCCTTCCTCTTGCCAACCATGGCTTCTTTTTCAGTAGAACTAGTGTGTTGCGACTGTTGGTGCGTGTGTGTGACTGTGTGAGGCAGTGTGGGGCCTTATGTAGTGTTGGACAATATGGACATTTGACCTAGATGACTCATAATCTTGCCGATGGAGTATGCATAGTGTTTCACTATTTTTGCAGCAAATTGAATGGTCGCCATTTTCTAGTTGAGTGTTCTCTAGCCAATTCTTGCCATGGTAGTCAGTTTTTTGGAACAAAATGGGGCTTTGTTTTCTTACTGTCACAAGCTAGCCTCTAATGGTGCACCCGAAAATAAAATCTTGAATCTTAAACCGGTAACACAAGCACATGGTACTCAGATTTTGTTGAATCTGAAATAGCACTTCCTTATGAGGCTGCCTGTGTTGATATTAAAAGAAAACTGAATACGGTTTTGATGCAATGAGGCCAGCCAGTTAAAATGTAATCTCAAATTGTTGGAGAAACGTACAATTGAACACTCCCCTCACATATGGCTCTTTCAAACCTAAATCTCAACCGAAGTACGCTACAACTTCTTCATTGTGTCCGATGGGCCTTGAACTCAAGAATCTTGACTTTGATACATGTGCGGTCTTTTACACATGTGGCTAGCTTTGTTATATTTGTAGTTGTCTTCTCTTTCATTTCATAACTTGTGTAACCGGGCAGTAGGTCTGGTTAGCAATCTCAACTTTTAGTATTGATATATGCAAACATTTCATAACTTGTGTGTGTAAGAATGTCACATGTGAGGAATGAATTGTGACAGGCCCACAGTGTAAATGCGCTCGTGTTTGTAGTAGTTGTGTGTGTGTGAGTGTGACATTGATAAAAGATAAATGGTTCCAGCAACCGTACCTTGCAGAACCAACCATTTATATACCACTAGGGGTCGAGTGCATCCACTATATGCATCACGAGTCATTTCATCATTCTTTTCTATCACACTAGCCGCCAGTAGAAAAAATGCAAGGGAAAACAGTTAGTTACGAGTTACGACCACCTATCAAGTGTGCTGGGCTCGACACCTTCGTCATCAATTATTAGCAAAAATAATGCAAAACAACACAAAAAATGGATCAGGTTATAGCTTAAGAGTAGGAGACATTGGGAAACGAACAATCAATATCAAATGGAAACAAGAAACTCCGTAGTGCAATTGATGATCAGCTTCAGTTCTTCACTGTTTCGGTCAGACGTTGTTGCATTACTTCAGGAAGACAGAAATGAACCTCCGTG